ATAAAATTCAAATATATATACTCAAAATTGATTCGATATGCTTTCTATTATAGAAAGCTGCCAAAGCTGGAAGCTTCCACGGATACTGTGTTGTGTGATACTATTGTCGCGCTGCACAGATCAAGATACCAAAGTATAGTAAAGCACATAGGCTCCATGTCGTTTATTTACATTTCATTCTGTGGTACTTGTATCGAAATTTACACCACCCTTAACTTGCCGATCCTCACTCGTATTACTTTCTCTGGTCTTTGTGTCTCTTGTTATTTTACAATGTTTTATATTATCTGGTACGAAAAAAAAAAACGTTTCTATTTGCGGAAGGAGAATTTCGTATGAAAAAAAAAACAGATGTTTTGCAGAACCATAAACAAGCAACGACCGATGTCGTTGGCAAGTTGTCAGTGACCAAAAATGAACCAGGTAGTTAGGTTCGTTCCTATCTAAACCTGTGTGTTATCGGTTATGATGAGTTTTATATCTAGATACTTCATTGTTTATCACACTCACATTTGGAAAATTCTCAAGTAGAACCCTCTGACTCATGTCAGCCATATTTGCATAGATATTATATTCATTGTCGTGATTGCTAATAAAAAAACTATAAAAGATCGTCGTTAGTAACCTTGAAGTCATATTAAAACTGACAACATCAAGGCAGTTTTCCACGCACTACTTTTCAATTTTTCTTTACTATCTTAAATAATTGTCCCGGCAATTGGGGATGCATTTTTGGTTTTTGATTAACTTAAAAGCCCCAATTGATATATTGCTTAATACCCCTTGCGATTTAATATTTTTCTTACATTTCTGAAATAAAAAATTTATTATAGGTTTTGGTATATGGCCATTGTGGCCTGTTATCGCAATCGAACAACGTGTCAATGGCACGCATATGATACCCTAACAGCGCCAGCATCGTTTTTAAATAACAGTATTTCGGTATTGCACTATGACATTCATGTTGTAAATGGCCATCCCAACAATTCAGACGATCATCCCTTACATATGAGTTCTCCTTCGATCAACAGAATCTTTTAGAAATGTATTTAATATTCCTGTTGGTTTACATTGTTCTACTGCCCATGCAAATTTACGCGGTGCGTTTGCAGAAACATCCTGTCACAAAGTTGTTTACAATCAGTTTGCTAAGTGAGTTCGTAAGTTTAGTATTAATAACATCCCATCTGATCAAATATGCCAGCAATGGCAAAGGATTGCCAAATTTGCAGACATCGGAGACATTTTAGATATTGTAGTAGGGTAAGTGTGAATAGTGCCAACAAGTTCTTCTCAGTAGTATGCCTCTTTCAATTTTCCCTATAGACCACATTTATGTTAATACTGCTACTGCTAGCCAAGGGATGGGCTGTAACACGTCAACAAATAAGTCGCACCGGTTGGATTATATTGATGAGTATATGGGTGCCCTATTGTGCTTTTCATGTGTTCCTCTACTACTGGAATAGAGTAAGTTTGTGTATTTTCCATGCATTACAAATTTGTATATTTTATTATTCATGAATATAGACGGAAGTTGATATAATTTCCGATGTGGACGAGTATCAAACTTGGCCTGGTTGGATAGTTCTTATATTACGGTAAATATAAATTACTTTGCTGTTTTAGATAATAAATTTATTCTAATATTTTCTATATATAGCACCACATTCATGTTATGGTTCCTGTACGAACTACGCAATACCATGAAATATGAACATTCATCTAAAAAACTAGATTTCCTTTTACATCTGGGAGCATCCAGTCTGGGTGGTTTATTTATCTTCCGATAGTGGCCATAGTAGCATTACAAGTGAGCCCCATGTGGCGCTATAAATTATTATTGGGTATAACAAATTCAGCTGATGTTTGGCATATTGTGTTATGACAGGACTCTGTGGCCAATAGATCTGGACAGTATTTGCTTTTGACAGGCTCAAAATACGCAGGTATGTAAAAATCGAACTTTTTCCGAACAACTCATTTACTGATTGAATACCTTTGTTTCACTAGGTATGGATGAACTAGACGAATTCAATGAAGCCCCAACATTGTGCGGGAACGTGAGAGAAGGCAAAATTCTATCGACAATCCGTGGTGGTGGTTACGAATGCCACCAGCAATCATTCAACGAATCGGCCAAATGGTGACGCCTGCGCGGATCTTTTAGAAGCAGAAGACCTTGGACGCGGAACTTCTAACAGACCTTAATAAGAATAGTCATATTGTGGCATAAGAAGTGCCACACCGTATTTAGGACGTATGTTTAAACTGCGCAATTACTACTGAATAGTGCTTATGATAATGGTTTTTATTATTGTATTGTGCGCACACCTCATACACAATACACAGAAATACAATAGTTGAAAATCTTTTTGTATAAGCATTTGCCAAATGCTAAGATAACAGAGTGATAATCTTGTTTATAACCTGAGAGTTTCTTTCAATTATTATTTGTGTAATTCATATAATGTATACATAGTAACATTAGCGATATTAATTAATTATAATATAACATAAGCAACGAATGTTTTTTTTTTTTTTTAAGTTCCAACATTCTATTTTAGCAACAATGTAAAATATCTTTGTATCTAGACTCTTTTCATTTTTGTTCATTCATTTGATTCGATAAATATGTCATTCGCGGTTTCTTTTAAATTCGCTAATAGACGTACATTCAAGTTATAGCCATTATTTTTGTGATTTATGAAATGAGACACACAAAACAAAAACAAAGCAAAAAATACTTTATTGTTAATTATTAGTCTTTGTATATTTTTCTAAGAAAATATCATTGAATATGTTATATTTAAGTAACACAACAACAACAACATAACACAACATTACAAAACGAAACGCTGCATACATTCATTAGTTTTTAGTGTATATTTCTATTTAAGATCTAAAAGATTTAAATATTTTAAATTGGATAATAGTGTCAAAATGATGTGACAGCTTTTGATCAATCATGTCATATAAATTTTAAATGAACAAACAAAAGAGAAACAAAAATAAAAAAAAACAATTATAGAACTGAATTAATATCACTGGCAATGTATTTTCTTTTAGTTGAAAGCTATCCAAAATATGGAATGTAACCAGAATAAGCTTGACAACTTTATAGCCACTTGTGTTCCAACGATTTTCATTGCGGCAAACCACAAGAAAGTATATATTCTTAGTTATTCGGTCAAATATGTATTAATAATTAATTTAATGCACATGTGTGTGTGTTTGTTATCGTGAATATCTTCCTTTAATACGCCCAAATTAAACAACAACAAATAAAGTTGACGGCGTTTTCACCGTAGCAAGAGTTATTAACAAATTAGTAATGTCACGGCCAACATCGTTAACACTTAACCCTATTCTCAAACTTTGTTTTATGTGGTTGTATTCATCACTCAACTGTTTGGCCTATTAAATTTGCCCTTCAATTTTAAGACAAAACGTTTCTCACAAAAGGGAATTTACAATAGGATTTATTGTGGCATTCTTCACCTACTTTATTGTGGATTTTTACCCTTTGCTGCCACCTCACCCGTTACCGACAATGCCGCCTACAAGAAGGCATCGTTTTATGTCATTTTAAACTATGCCATTACCATTTTGAGATTACCAGCATTAATTTTCACCCTATGGGGAGTTTGGTGGCATAGCAAAAATCTTTACTGTGTGATTCAAGACTTCGAGAAATTGCGCTTGGAGAATTTCCATAATTTGAAGGAATCGAAACGATACCAGATAATCAAGAAGAACGATCGGTTGGTGTGGTCAAAAATCCTAACAACACTGAGTGTGATGATCATGTTCTACTTTCGAATATTTATGTTTGCCAAAGAACCCTCACTGAGTTTTATTTTGTTGTCCATTTATTTCGGCTGTTTGGAGTGTTTAACTATTTACACCATAAATTTCTTTTTCTGTGGCATATGTTATGCCAATTGTGCGCTACATTATGTCAAAGAGATATTGGATGAACTCGAAGGAGATTCAATTTCATTTAGAATACATCGCCTTTCCCAAGTGTTCGGAGATATTTGCAAGACCACTAAGAACTTGTTTATCATTTTCCAATGGCAAATATTGTCCATAATGTTGGCAGCAATGATTGCGCTGATTGCCTTATTCTTCAACTTGATAATCCTGTGGTTTACATCGCCGAGGATATTTCAAATTCCTGTGATAGTTTTAACTCTGCAAGCAGCCTTTATAAATATGGGAGAGATTTTTGTAACGGCATATGTATTGAATGACATGAAGGAGTGCCTGAAGGATATACAGCGAGTTCTGATGGAACTCACATGGAAATGTGATTTTTTCAACAACAAGGAGTTGGATAATGTTGTGAGTATTGAACGTGTTTTTTAGAGTTTTGTATAAATAAATAAATATTTTGGATTTCCATTTTAGATGGACATGTTTTCGCTGCACCTGTGTGTTCGAGCACCTCAAGCTAATCTCTGTGGATTCTTTGATTTTGATATGCGTATAGCTATTAAATTCTTACAAGCAATGCTGATTCATTTGATATTGTTGGTGCAATTTCATTTCAGACACATGGTGTAGAATTGTAGTGAAATAGAAAAAGTAAAGGGTCGATTTGGTGGCACTAAAGAAGAGAGTTTTATAAATCGGGAGTCTATAAGGCAGTTCAAAAATGTAAAGTAGTACTTTCAGAGTTTTGTATAAATTGTTCTATCTATGCAAGGTTTCTCCAGTAACATTTAATAAACTCTCCGTATGCAATTTTTCAAAATTTCACTCTCATGTTCTTATTTTTTCTGTACTTTTGGATAAGAGGACGACATCCCGTAAAATGGGGTAAAAATTGTTACAATAAATCGAATAAAACGATACATCAAATAGTCTTTTTATACCCTCAGCCATTGGCTAGAGAGGGTATATATCAATTGATATGGTCAAAGCGTGCCTAGTCGAAATAACGGTTTTAGACCCTAGGTCTCTTTGGACAAAATCCGTATCAGGACATTTGGAGTTGATCTGGCGTTGTCCGTCCGTCTGTCTGTCTGGTGCGCGCGATAACTTTCGAAGGGAGCATCCGATTTGGTCCAAACTTAGTACATCGTAACATTTTTGTCGAACTTAGATCGAGTTCGGAGATGGTCAATATCGGTCCACTCCTTCTCGAAATTTTCAAAAAAAAAAAAAAAATCTGCACAGAAAGAGGAACGATAATCCGATTTTGCTCCGACTTTGCAAATCCTAATATTTGCATCAGTGCTAGGTCAGGTGCGAAAATGGACAATATCGGTTCACTCCACCAAGTACCTCCCCCACAAAGGGTCAAGATTTTGAATAATTACAACTCTCATAAAATGTGATGAAAGAGTACAATTGTCTTTAAATTTCCCACATCCGAATATTTTTAAGAACCCAAGGTCTGGTGTGAAGATGGAATATCTCGGCCCAATCCTTCTGGGACATCCCCAACAAAAGGTCGAAGTTTTCAAAAATATATTTTCGGCACAGAAATAGATTTTTCTACAGCTTTGCAAAATCTAATATTTGCATCCATGCTAGATCAAGGGCAAAAATGGATAATATCGGTCAACTCCATGAAGTGTTTTTTGGTAAATAATTTGCAAAAATGGTTAAATTTGAAGATTTTTTCCACGTAAAGGAACAAAGTTAGGGTTAGGGCAGCTGTTTTTGTGATACAAAAAAAAAACAAAAGGCTATCTCCATCTATTGAATATTTATATATTATTTTAATTTTTCGTTTTTTTTTACATGGTTGTGTGAATGAATAAATGACATAAGAAGCTTTCGAAAGCGCCATCTGTTGTAAAGTTTTATCGGCAACACTTGTTTATTTTATTACTTCGCAGATGGCAACCTTGTGGCTGGGCGAAAAACACAATGTGGGCAAATTTGCTGAATTAGAAAACTACCAAGTATAAATTGTTGCTATAAAAATATCCTGATATTTTCCCAAAACTTTGTCATTCTTGCAGATTGTGAATAAAATAAATCAAAGACATATGCATTTTGTCCAGTCTTTATAGTTTAATGTCTTTGAATAAATAAAGGTTAAGCTGCATGACATAACTAGATGTCGCTGTTTATATAAATATGTATATCATTCCTCAAAGTTTCGTAGAATGTGTGAATTCAAATCCGCGAAAAAACATTAAATTTCCAAAATATTCATGTGTGAGGCCTACCCTTGCAAAATGTGTTGCTTTGTTTTAAAGTGTTGCTGAAATATGCAATTTTAACAGCTAAATTGTCCTTAGTTTTTTCTTCTTATTTAGCAATAGAATATACTTAATTTTAAAAGTAAATACAAGTAAAATTAGTTACAAATTTCAAGAATATGATGCATTGGTTTAAATGCTTTAACATTTCTTTTATTAAAGCACAGCGTATACATACAAATATCTTCCCACACTAATACAAGGGGGGAAAAGGAAACCAAATCACAATTATAATTGATTTCCTCGAACAAAAAAAGCAACAACATATTTGTCAGGGAATTCGAATCCTATATCAACATGGGAATATATGAATTATCCTGATGAATAAGGAAACAAAACATAATTTCATTCTGGGACTTAATTTGGCCAGAAGAAGAACACAAACAACAACACCAAAAACAATACACTGTCTATTTGCACAGCCAATTAGTTGTTGCGAGAAAAACAAAAATAGCAGATTGCTTACGTAAGTGTTCGTGTTTGCGTGTGTGTTAGTGCGTGCGTGTGTATGTGTCTATGTGTTTGTGTCAGATAATGGACAAGCCACTTTCATACACAGATATCGTTAGACGACAACTTTTAGCAACAGTTGATGGGTATAAAAATAACTCTGGGGAAAATTGCCACTACATAAAGACATCATTAAGGCCAATGTACTTCCATATCGATATATTAGGATGGACTCCTTATCGCATCAGAAAAATTCTCATTGAAACTTGGGATAACTGAAAGAGGAAAGCTACGATGGAGTTGGGTATCAAATTATTTGCAAGGGAAGGAAACTCAGTTTACAATATTTTCTTACAAAGAAAAAAGAAGTGTAAGGCAAACATAAATGGCTGCACATTTGAAGAATGCCCAAAATATGTCAAAATCTGGTTCGAAGTGGGCTTCTTAAGAAATCAAATTCAAATTTAGGCAATCTGTTTCTTTAATAAAAATGACAGATTTCAATATGCTATAATTCCGATTTTCCTTCTAATAGTGCTCTGCGTATTTCAGATGAATTTGTGGAAGCCAAGTAAACAACATTTTTATACCCTCAGCCATATGGTAATAATTTACTGCACAGAAAAGGAAATCATGATCCGATTTTGCTCCAACTTTGCAAATCCTAATATTTGCGTCAGTGCTAGGTCAGGTATATCCCCCACAAAAATTTGTCAAAATTTTGAATAATTATAACTCTTATAAAATATGATGTTAAATTCGATTGTCTTCAATAATTTATTAACCCAAGGTATGGTGTGAAGGTGGAATATGTCGGTCCACTCCTTCTGGTTCATCCTCCACAAAGAGTCATAATTTTGAATAACAAAAAATATTATAAAATAAGAAATAAGCATCTGGTTCTCTTCATATTTCACGCATCCCATTATTTCTACTAACACAAGATCTGTTGTGAAGATGGGCTATATCGACCCACTTCTACTGGTACCTCCACCACAAGGGGTCAGAATTTGGAATTGCCTTAAAAGCTAGAAAAACGAGAAATAAGCCTCCGATTCTCTTCAAATTTCACACATCTCAATGTTTTTACTAACAAAAGATCTGCTGTGAAGATGGGATATATCGGTCCACTCCTTGTGGTAGCTTCCCTACAAAGGGTCAATATTTTGAGTATCAATCAAGCTCATAAAATGGGAAATTTACATCCGATTCCTTTCAGACTTAGTAGTATTAATATTTCCATCAACACAAGATCGATTTTCTTAAAATTTTGCCCGTACCAATATTTTTATGTATATTATATGTAGTGTGAAGATGGAATACTTCGGTCCGCAATATTTGTTGCCTCACATATATTTCCACAGTTTTCAAAAATTTGCACATATTTCATGTAAAGTATGAAAGTGGTCGATATAGTCCAAATCTGGCACATTGTAATATTTATATCAGTCTTAGGTCAGATACGAAACGGTCAATATTGGCCAAGTACTTCGAGTAATAATAATAACTCAATGCTGGGGATATACCTTTGTCGACAAACCCTACTGATACTGTTTTACTTTTTTTTTGCAAATCAAGTCAAATGTTGTTTCTGCAAATTACTCTATTTCTTTACAATGCTCCGATCCATCCCATTATTAGCGTTTAATAGTTTTAACATGCAAACCTAACATATTTAGAGTATGTGCCGGCTTGCATATGCTCCCCCAAACATTTGTTTGCGAATAGTTGTGTTGCATAACGTGGCACTTGCCACCCCGCAAACAAAACCATCTAGGTTCGCTTCAAAAGCCGATAGTGATATAGGATTTGATTGATCGAAGGTGATGTAGGCTTAAGAAAATATCTCTGTCAAACCTTTGATAGAATACATTGACAAAAAAATATATTCATAGATATATTCTTATACACAATTCAGAGATGGAAATCTGTTTCTATGCAGCTACATTGGACTATTTATATTATAGAAAACATATTTGTCAAAAGGTACAATAAAAAAGGTAGCCTCAATCATGCGTATTTTTTCTTTAGTTTATGTTCAAAATACATTTTTAAAATTCCATTGTATATACACAAATCAGAGATGGAAACCAGATTTCTATGCATTTAAATTTGACAACTTAAATTGCCGAAAATACAGAGCTGGATATTCTCATTTGAAATTAGTTTACCGACAATTCCACCAAGGAACAGAAGTCGCAAGGTGACCAACATTTTCTATGTTTTTTGCAGTCGTTATGGATACCCAAAATTTTGCTTGCTGGGCATACTCCCCCATATGTGCACGGTTTGTTGCGGCCTTTTATGGTTTGTCTCTCAAAACGTCTGACGCTGGTAAATATAATGGCCTAAATCCTTAACGGTTTGTGCATCAATAATTGTTAATACAAAATGTTCGCAGTCGTGCGTATAATTGGAATTAATACAAAACCAAAATGAGCATAGTCAATACACACAAACAAGCTCTTTGGCAAACACACACACATACACAAATATCAGATACTAAATCCTATTGACTGATACTTAAATGTGCGTGTATGTGTGTGAGAGAGAGAGGTTGAGTATAGTGAGGGAAATCTAAAAGATAATACTTGTATTTGTCCATCTACAACTCAATTTAGCGATAGGGGAATAGTAATGTTGGCCACATTTGGAATGGATATGGCTGGGGTTATTATGGAAACCTATTTCAATTAATTAAAGTTTTGAAAAAATATGTAATTAGGAAAATTATATCGAATATGAATTAAACTAATCCCTTATATGAGACGTGCACTGTTCTTTATTTCCGAGTAGTTTTTCCCCGTAAAAATATTCTGCGTTGTTATTTTGTTATAAAAATAACAAATTATCTCATTTCATGTAAAATCACAGAATTGTTTCTTATCTCCTTCCCCATTCACCCACTAAATACTTCGACTCAGTAATCCCTCCAGTTGTACGGGGTGACTGATAACATCTCAATGAACTTGCCGGCTGACTGCTCACATACACCGGAAACACTTTTATGGTTTTATGAATTCTCTATGTGTGTGTGTGTGGGTCTATAGGTCTCACAGGTATTGTGAACTAATACAATCAAATGTCAGCACACAATATCCTGCTTCTTGCAAGGGAATCTCTGCTCAAAATATGGCAATTAGAGTAGCATTTAATGGAATTCTTATTAATTTCGATAGGCCTCTGGGAATCGAAGTGACCAACATATTTTGCCACAACAGGATTAATGCTGGTGTAGTGGATGAAATGAAGCTTCTTAGAGGAGCAGCACTGGAATATTTATGTATTCTTCTTCAAAAGCAAATGCTGCGAACTAATAGCTTTGTGTTTTTTTGGGAAATTGGGTTATTGATTTTTCATATCCTGCATACATGATTCAGTTTAATTGTATGTGTATTCAGTTTAATTGTTTGATTGATGGCTGGACTCCTCAGCTGGTTTCTTATAATTAATCTAATTGAATTGACTGAAAAAATAATTCATCTCCGATACAGATGCACGTGTTGCATTAAAAATATAAAAAAATATAATAAAAAAATACGACATTAACCTTGAGACAAAATGGTAAAATCCCCAGAATTTAACATAACCTATAAAAAAATGCAACAAAAAATCCACCTTGGAATAACAAGAAATAGAAAAAATATTTTTATTATTTTCCCTGTGGAAAATTTCCTTGAAATTTTGTTTTTATTGCATGCTCGGTTTACTCAGAGTAAACAAACGTGTCTCAGCTCCAAGACCAAATCATGGACATACAACAATAACAGCAGCGTTCACCGCTAACAGGACTCCTTCCACTCCATTGCCACTAAACACCTGGCCGAGGCTCCCTCTCCACAACCCCGTTTTCCATGTTCTCTAATAATAACAATAACATAAATGCTAAATTGTAAGCTTCATCTAATATGCAACTATTGCAGATTATATTTCGTATCATGGCACAAAGGGTGGACGCTAGAAGCATGATAAAAAATGTGAAGAAATATAATAACTGTTTTTAATTACATTTAATTTGCATTGTATTACCGACATCTTATTTATGAGTCCAGTACACATACATCCCATAATATGGGAAAATAGTAACTCCCATTTCGTATCACTTCATGGCTGAACCTTTTTTTTTTTGCTCTTGAATAATATTCGTTCTTGTAGAGCCGTTGCCAAAACTACCACAAACACAACCAACGAACAACATTTTCGTTTATGCTGCGAGCACCATCATCATCAACAAAAACAATGATAATAACAACAACAACAACAACAACAAAAGTAGTTGCAACATTATATCGCTGTAGTCATAACATGGCTGGGGAGTATGATAACAACCACATGTATGCGTCCAGCAGCCCATGCACACATCGCCATACACATAGAGATATACATGTGTAGGTGTGTATGTATGTAACTCCACCGCCACCATCAACAAAAACACCAACAGACACAGACACACATATTCATTTGAATGGATGGCAACATCATATACTACAAACCAGACCTCTAGACCCATAACATGGAACAACAACAGCAACAAAGCCTGCAACTATCTGTCCGTACATACCTACAACAAGAACAACAACAACAACAACAAAAGCACTAGCAAGTACAAGTTTTAATTGTTGATTACATTAAAAGTTGTATTGTATGCATTTTATCTAATTGCCACAAAATTCAACTCTAGAATAATTTTAGAAAACGTCGAAAGAAGGCGACGACGACGACGCCGGCGATGATGAAAAAATTCCCTCAAAATATTTTGAATTATTAAAAAAATGAATACTAATGAGTTTGGAATGTTTTTGTTTTGGTGCAAAAGGAAATTGTTTTTACTTAAAAAAGTTATGGGAGTGTGTGCGTGTGCAGAGATGCGTATGGTGGCAGTGTGTGTTCTCTATGGGGAAGTCTAGGAAAGTTGGGTATTGAGAAATGTCCACATTCTGAGGGAGTTTTTGTGCAAACTTTGTAAATACCAATATTTTTGCCAGTGCTAGGTCAGGTGCTTAAAGGGACAAGTTTGGTCCACTCCAGCAAGTACCTCTCCCACAAAGGGTCAAAATTTCGAATAATTATAATTTCGAATAATTATAACGAATAATTGTCTTCAAATTTCACACATCCTAGTATTTTTGTTAACAAAAGATCTGTTGTGAAGATGGGATATATCGGTATACTCCTCCCCCACATTGGATCAAATTTTTGAATAACCATGAAGTTCGTAAAATGCGAAATCTGCATACGATTCTTTTCAAATTTCACACATCCCAATACTACTACTTAGGAAAGATTTGGTGTGAAGATGTTAGTTATCGGACAACTCCTTCTGGAAGCTTCCCCACAGAGGATTTGAACTAAGAGTCCGATAGTCTTAAAATTTCGCACATTTCAATATTTCAACTAACACAAGGTCTGGTAACGTTCTTCATGTTAGTGGAAATACCACTGAATGGACCACTCCTTCTAGTACCTCTTCCACAAAGGGTCAAAATTTGGAATAACCATTAACCACATAAAACGCGAAATGAGCATTCAATCCAAATTTGATACATTTTAATATTTTAAACAGACTTATGTCAGAACCTCTCCTTCGAAACCTCTTCTGTGAAGGATAAATATTTTGAATAATCATAACGCAAGTCCAAAAATATATTTAAATAACCCAACATTAGCTGAGGGTATGCAGCCGCCGGTAAAACCGACTGTTTCAATTTAACTTCTGTTTTTTTTTTTGAATTCCCATTTTGTATTTTAATGAGTAGTGCTCCTTCTGCCCAAAAAAAAATGACTAATATAAGTCCTTTATTGTCATCCCTATTTACACATGCTCATCCACTGGAGTTTGTCATCCGTCAGTTTTATTCCAGGGAATGTTGATTTATTTAAAACATTGGATGAGTAAAACGTTTGTTTAAAGTTTTGTGCAGTTCGATATATTCAATTCAAATGTTCACGACGTCGAGGACCTTTTGAAAGGAAGGAAAGGACCGATTGAAAGGAATCTTTAAAATCCTGATATTTTTTTTTAAAGAAAGTTATTGAATTGCTCATCAAGCTTTTGCAGGAATTTTTGTTAAAAGCCAAGTTTTTGTAACAATTTGCAATTGTTACATATTTTTGGGTAACCAGACAGACCTAATTTTTTATTGGTCTATTGAAGACGGTTTTGTGTCAGGAGGCCGATTAAATCAGGGCTCCCTCCCTCCCTATTTGATTACTTCTTGATTACATTGTTTTTCAATAGTTCTGACTCTGAGCATGGAGAGAATTACGCTCGTTGAAGTTAAGCTCGTCTGATTTTGGCTGGTCCTGGATTTAACAGTTTTAATATATTGCTTAAATGACCAAATATCTACAGAAAACCGCCTATACAATGTTCCGCCTATATATTATCAATCGATTTTTTCCATTTCATTGTGTTTTCCTATTTCACATAAACTACAAAATTCACACTCTTCCTGTGCTTTAAAAATTAGCATGTTTGCCTCTGTCTGTGTATGTATCTGCCATGTGCCAATATGTTGATTGATTTCTATAAATTTAAATCGAAATCATTTCATCTGGAACATTTCAATTATTTGGTCAGTTTGTAATTTTTGCCAAACAGTTTAAAATGGCCGTTAGGCGTATTACAAAAGGAAACTTCGCTTGGAACAGTTTTTTTTTCTGTCCGACTTCATAAACCATTTGGTGCCGAGCTTTTCGTCAGCGTCAGGTTCTCTCGATCCCAATTGTCTAGATTTTGACGTCAATCAAAGTTCTTTTTCCTTCTGTGCCCTGAGTACAATTAAATTTTCACAACTAGTTCCGGGTTTGCTATTTTACAGCCCATCAACAACAACAACAAATTCGAGCAAACTAAAAAGAAAGGAAAGTGAGTATTTCCGCTCAAATTTGTTTTCATTCATTTTTGATCAGCTATTTACAAAATATTTACAATCAACTATGTTAATGTACAACAGTATTCCAGAACATGTCGGGTGGTCAAGAGCGACTTGTTTACACCCTATTAAAACGTTTGAATTGGGAAAAAATTGTTAAATCAAAATACGAATATTTTCAGCTATCAGGGTGAGATGAAAAAACTGCAACCAACTTCAGACTGCTGTCATTTCTAAGCCACTCGTCCGACAGCTGTTAAAATAATTCCAGCGACATCTCATTATATTGTTAACAAGGTGAAGGTGTGGGTCGCCATAACAGCCGATGGTCGCTCTCCGCTCGTATTAATCGACCGCGTCAGAATAAATGCCGAATATTATCGCGAAAATATTCTGAAGCCTTGGGCACGCAAATATTTTGGCCTCAGACCTTGGATATTCCAACAGGACTCAGTCAGCGCACAATGCCACCAAAATCTCCGGATACCAATCCGTTGGACTATTGTGTCTGGAGTATTTTGGAAAGCAAGGTAGGCATTTAAAATACCAAAGTTTCGATCACCTCAAGCCAGCGCTTCGCCGGGGGTAGGCCAAAATACCGCAGAGCAACATTCGAGCAGCGTGTGAAGGTTTCAAAATTTAGATATAGCTCCCATATATATCTTCGTTCGATTTGCCTTTTATTGTACACCACATACATAACCAAGTTGAGTCTAGAAACAAGATAATCAAATTTGGTGGAAATCGGTTCAGATATAGCAATGGCTCCCGCATACATACCGAATTTGACCTTTCTTTACTGGGTTTTGGTAAAAATAGGGGAAATGTTGGTTTCTTTCAGATCTATACTTATATTTTGTTGTCTGTTAATAATTCTTATAAAAATATGCCCAGTTAATTGACCTTCCTCTGTCTGTTACAAATTGATGTACCCATATCATACTTTACACCAATTAATTTAGGGTGCAAAAAAATATAGGGTGCAAAACACCGGTGAGCGAGCATTGAGCAAAAACATTTGTTAAATTCTCATTGTCCTGACTGAAGTTTGTTAAATGATTTAATTGAGTTATTAAAAATTTTCAATTGTTTGTGTTTTTGTTGCTTTTGATTGTTGTTTTTCTTTGAGTACAAGTTAAATGGCCAATGGAATTCAAGCCCAAAAAATTCCTAATGGAATTTGTCCCACATATAAAAAGGATACTTTAGTTTCGGCTTGATGTATAAACACACAGGTGATTGTCCTGTTAAGACCAAACATTACTGACCAATGGAATTTCATCGACCCTTGCTGCCAAATGGAGAAATTGCTCCGCTGTCATGGGAAATACGGTTATTCTTTGTCAATGTTAGTTGGCCTATGAAGGCGAATGCCAAGCTATTTACAAGGATCTACGATAAGGCCACCCTGGTGCTGGGCTTTTTGTTTTTCTGCTACCAAAATGAGGCCGAGATGCACTATGTGGTCAATAACATCAACGACATTGGTCTGGCCTTGGAAGGTATGGCTACGTACTTGATACTGGTCGAGACTCATTTGAGAATTTACAACAAGGGTCTGTACAAGAGCAGTTTCCGGGAGTTCCTCAATGAGTTTTATGCCAAAATTTACATGGAAAAGTAAGTTTCGCAAAGGGAAGCTAATTCTTGTTATTATTTATATTTAATGTTCCTCTTTTAAGGTCCTACAACATAGAAACCTATTTGGATATCCAACGAAAGCTGTTGCCAACAAAAATGTGCTCCTATGCCTATATGCTGACACTTGTTACGTATTTTTTGGTACCAGTTTTGGGCTTCTTTAGCAATGCCCATTTGGTGCCCTTCAAGACCATATTCCATTACGACCTTGACATTTGGTATTTCTATTTGCCAACTCTATGCCTCACCCTGTGGATTGGAGTGGCCGTTGTCTCACAACTGGCAGCTGAATCGAATCTATTGGCCACCATTATTTTACACTTGAATGCCCGTTATTTGCATCTGCAATCGGATCTCAAGGAATTGCAAACCAGACTGGCATCGGACATGAAACTCAGCACGGACAAGGTGTTGGGTGAATATCGCCGGCAGTTCATTGAAATCGTCAAACGAAACGTGGAGTACAATGACTTTGCTCAAAAGTTCCAGAATCAGTACTCGTTTTGCATATTTGTCATGATGGCGTTCAGTGCGGTGTTGTTGTGCGTTTTGGCATTCAAAGCAGCGACGGTAAGGTTTGATTTTGGGGAAATTTCCCGGAGTTTTAATGCTAAGTTCCCAAGTAAGATAAACTTTTTTCAGATCTAGGATAAATTTGAACATTTTTTGGCGTATGTAGAAGGGTGGGGGACTTGTCCCCTCATTTAAGGTTACTTAGCGTTTAAAATTGTTCGAAACCCCTTTAAACGCGTCTTCTTTTTTTCGCTCTAGTTTCATAATCTACTGCATTTTTTGTGTTTATTGAAAAATTGAATTCTGTCGTACAATGTAATTTAAACTCCCTGAGACATTTTTATTACTTCAAGGATTAATGAGTCATTATTTAAACAGATAGTGCAAAGGTCCACGTAGTTATTTATCCCATTATCCTTACACCTGTAGATACGTGAATATTTCTGTTTGTCTTCTATTTTTCATGTTTTACGTTTTTCATTTAACACACAGCTGGGCATGACTACCAAGAATATTACCTTCATTACCTGGATAATAGGTAAAATTGTGGAATTGTTGGTATTCGGCACCTTGGGCTCACAGCTTATCGAAACGGTAATTAGTTGTATAGTTTTAATGAAAACAAAAAAATGAAAAAGAAAATCTTTTCCATCCTCCCTCCCACAGACCGACAAGATGAGCTCCTGCTATTACATGGCCAATTGGGAGGACATCATTTTGAAATCACCAAAAACCACCGACAACATTGAACTAATGAAACTGATAATTCTCTCGATTGAATTGAATCAGAAACCTTTTTCATTAACTGGTTACAATTATTTCAGTGTTAGTTTGGCCACTGTGGTGACGGTAAGTAGTGTGTGGTGGGTGTGTGTTCGTTAAGAAATCTTAAAAAAAATCGTTGCCACAGATACTACAAGGAGCTGGCTCATATTTTACCTTTTTATATGCTTTTCGATAAAATCGTAAAGAGAAGATGCAGAGAATGGCGCAAGTGAATGGCAGAGAATGGTGACCACAAATTTATTGTCCAGATTAGGGGCTTAAGATTATTTTCTAATATTTATATGATTTTTTTTTCGAAATGAAATTTATAAAGAAAATGAGAAAATAAAATTGAATATTATACTCGAAATTAAATGTTAGATTTTTATACCCTTCCCCTTGAAGAGGAGGGTATATTAAAGCTGTCATTCCTTTTGTAACACCTCCAAATATTCGTTAGAGAACCTATAAAGTATATATATTCATGATCAGCATAAATTCTAAATCGATAAGGACTTAACGATGTCCTCCTGTCCGTCGTCTGGTTTAAGCCACATTTTTCCACGGAATTGTCTAAAAATTGTTATTTTTTGTTGTTCATGTTGAGGTATTAGAAATTTGGCTTGGCCGAACTTAATGTTTTTATATTTGTTTTAACTAAAATATAGGAACTGTTTATACATCTCGAAAGAAAAGGATTGCGAAGGGAAAACACCAAATCTATTTGGATTTTTGAAAATTTTGAGTTTTCCAATTTGCATAAAAATCAAAAACTTAAAAAAGACACATTGACTTGGTGTTGTTTTTTTGCATTAAATTTTGCTTTTAACTTAGTGTAGTAAAAACAATGTAGCAATATCTGTGTACACTGGGGCGTATAACCACCGACATCACATATACGCCATGTTGACTTTAAACCATTTCACTGTTATTTTTTTATATTTGAAAAAAAAAACACAAACTTTACGGGCTTTAGCAGTTAATAAAATTTAGAAATTTAGAAACTTTAGACCTTTCTTTTGTCCGCACAACAACCTTTTCACAATTTTAGGCTGCTTTCAGTCAATAACAACTTTGTAGGCCCCTAACTCATTTTATGTTCCTTGACATTTAACATGTAAAACGTTTTATTCTAATGCTGTTCATTGCCTTTTGTAGTTTATCAAGAGCTAGAAACATTTCATGATAACCCTTTTCAATCAAAGCCTGTTAGCTGGCAAAGAGTAAACAGAAAAAAACAACAACTTTCCAATCCGTCATCAACCGAATATCCTTTTCGGGCAATCTCTTGTCAATAGCCTTAAAAATCATGCAACGTCACTGGCAAACTACAAATTGTGATTTTTTTTTTGCTCGGGCGTAATTGGCTGCTTTTGAGGCCTTAATTTATATTCGCTGTGCGTAGATCATGTTATCAACTTATTTATGGCCACAAAATGTACTTGTTACGGCGACGAAAATTTTCCTTTTTTTTCGGTTAAATATGACGGGTTGGCTGGCTAACGGGCTGAATGGTTGTGAAGCATTGTTGCGGCCTTCCCTTTTGGGCTAGCTGTTCGAAACGAGATTATTATGGAAGTTGAGCTGAGTTGAATATCTGTTCATCCATCCATAAACATTTCGGCTATTTAAAGTTTATCCACTTTCGATTAGTTGTGGTTGTTATGTTACCAACTCTAAACATCATTTGCAGACACAAAAGAGCTTTACACACTCACGCATACACACAAGCACATATTGAAAATTGTTTTTATTCCGTGTGACACAACACAGTATAGCCGATGCTGATGTTGCTCCATTTTTTCGCTCCCCTATGATGTGTTGTGGTTAAAAGCAGCATAAATGAGATTCCCTTGAAATACTTGTAAGTGATATCCCCAAGATTGCTGAAGTGTTAGAGCTTCATTTGTTGGGTATACAATAAGAGTATTTGTAAGGTGCTGAATCAGCAAAAGATTATGTGTTGTGGATTTTTTTTGGCCGATATGACTTTCAAGATATTAACCTAACCATTCAAGGAAAATAAACATTTTTTTGTTCTTTTTTTGCAAAGATGAAACTATGTATCCATCATAGTTTAATATTTGCCCTTTGGAAAAGGAAAATTGTATAACAAATTAGTTGTATTGCTATTTACGGGTTACGAAAGCTCTCCAGTCCAAAAGCTTGATTGTGTTTTTAAGCATATTTTTTTAAAAATTAGGACTAAAAACTCTTTCGGTGTTTCGTCAATCAAAGCAATTCTCGTATTGTTATCAGTAATATTGCCGAAGACACTATACACCTAAAATTCATGGCATCTGAAGGATTTTACTTTCTTTATCTACTGGATTTTTCCTGTAATTATTTGTTTTTATCTGAAAATAACACATTTTTTATATATTTATGTGAAACATATGAAGAGAGAACAAGTAAAAAAGCAGTAAGCTCTGCCGGGCCGAGCTTTGAATACCCTTCACCATTTGGAACTAATTTTAAAATTAAATAAAAAAATAATAAAATCCGTTAAAAATTCTCTTAAAATCTTAAAAATACCGAATACAGCCGTTATAATAACGTTACGAAGACGTGGACCTGCATAGGCTTCTTTTGTCATAAGCCATTACAATATTCTAATACGAAACTTGAAAAAAATATAGGGAGGTACCGTTCTATCGGGGATATACGAAGACCTGGACCTGCATCGACAATTTTCTGTCACAGGCTGTAGTACCTATTAAGAACTTCAAATACGAAATTTCAAACAATTTCGGTGAATATTGTCTCTAGAATCGTCAAAATATCGAATATTGGGGATATTGTTGCATGTGGGCTATACGATATCGTGGATCTATATAGACATTTCTCTTCCAGGGGGTAAAGTGCTTAGAAAGAATTTCTAGATTTTCAGACAATTTCATTGAAAATTTTCAATACAATCATTAAAATGCTGAATATCGGGGGTATCGTTATATGGGGACTATACGATATCGTGAACCGATATGAAACACAAAAGACTGATCTGGGCAAAATTTTAGCTTCCTATCATTATTTGTTTTGACTCTAGCGTGATTACGACAGACGGACGTTAGGACAGGGCTAAATCGTCTTAGAATTTTACGCTGATCAAAAATATATATACTTTGTTGTGTCCGTAATTATTATTTCGATAAATTACTAACGGAATGAGGAACTTAATATACCCTCCATACTATGTATGGTGGAGATTATAAAAACTAGTTAATCCCTACCCAGATTATTAATGAATATCCTTCGACGGTCTTAAGTAGTTTTCAAATTTCGCCTGAAAAAAGAAAAATGGGGTTTTCTCCACCATAAACCCCCTTTTAGTAGTTTAAGGGATATCATAGGTAGTGGTGTTTTCTATAATGGTCCTGACCCACCCCTTTTTTCTTCGTAACCTAATCTTGTATTGGAAAAAGTTTTCCATCCATGTTTTGCTCGACCAATAAAATTATTTGCTTGCATGCACAAATAAATGGAAGATTGATAAACTTTCGGAAATTATGTTCCACACACAAATTAAGAAACAAAAGTGAAAAAAAAACCCGGCACAGCAGCAATATTTTGCCCACATAGCTTAATTTAGGGATTTCTCACTAATCCCTTTGTGAATTCAATCTGTTTGTTTCGTTTTGGTGTTTTTTTATTTGTTGTCCTCCCAACAACTTAAGTTACTGAAGCAGAACTTCATTCGTGTTGCGTTTGCGTTTGTTTTTAGCAAATTCCTGGTTCTGTTCTTTGAATCCTTGTAAATCCTTGGCAGATAATGAGACCGACAGTGTCGTTAACAGCTTTGCCAGAACAGTTGCTTTAATCAGCCTTTTTAAGCTGAATTTTATGGGTGACACTTTGGCTGGCTGGCTGGTTGGCATCGGGGCTCTAACGAATGTGGCCACCCGGAGTAGCTTTTTAAAGCCTAAACTCGGCTATCCTTCTAATGTCGTCATAGCCTACAAAATGTTGTTGTTGTTGCTGGCAATCGTCTGTTTGCTCATTGCCATCACCATTAGCACTTGGTCGCGTTGCTGCTGATGCCATTCTCATTCTCATTTTCATTCTCATTTTCGTTCCAGTTCTCGTACGGGGTTGTTTTAAAGTTGGTAATTTTCGCGTTTTTCCGTCGAAATTATACGGCTTTTGTTGGTGTTAGTGTTGTTGTTGGTCTTGCTGTTATTATTGTATGCTGTTCCCATACCGTTGTTGTTGTAGTTGCTTTTTTGTTGCTGTGTGGTGGCTATAAAAACAATGCAATTTATATTTATGCGAGCTAAGTGGAAGATGTGGTTGTTGCCTTTGCCGCCGCTGTCGGTGCTATCGTTGTTGATGTTGTGGCAAATATACTCGAAACTTCAAAACAAAAGCCGCCGACCTACCTACCTAACCATGATTATACGAGGGGATTGAGGAAAAGATTTGAACTAGAAGATCGCTGGGCAGCACTACTAAAATTGGCATTACTTTCAAAAGGTTCGTTTTGAAAAATGGTTATATCTTTAGAACCAATTTAGATATTTTGGCATAAAATTCTTGGATTTTTTTATTTCTGACCTGAGCAATCCTCGATATTTTTCGTCAATGTGAATTTCAGTCACTAATCCATTGCCGGTCAAACTATCCTCGCTTTAGCGTCACTCTTTCACACACACACACCTACATAAACGAAACTTTCAACACCTACCAATGAGGAGCTACACTTTCAGCTGAGCCGGGGGGGAAAAAGGCAATTGAGTAGGAAATTACTTGACCCACTTTATGCTTGTCTGTGGCTGTGTGTGTGTGTACGGCAGGTTTTAAATAATGATGAAAATAAAAACCGGTGAATAAAAACTGGATTATCGCGAAAAGTTTTCTGTTTTGAAAAGGAAGTGCTTGAAAAGTACTTTCTTCCAACCTGACTGGCATTCGTTTTATGTTTTGTTTTATTTTATTTTTATATTTTGTATAAATATTCAGCTTAACTCCCACTTTAAGCGAATGTAGATTAAGCTCGCATGCAAATGCGATGCGGTGGCATAACAATTGAAATGTAAAAATAAAAGCCAGCTATGTTGGCATTTAAAAACCCACTCAAATGGTGCCGTATTTCTTTTGTATTGGTGTTGTTGTTGTTGTTGCTGCTATTGCTGTTGCTGTTATACAATACACATCACTAAATTGTGAATTACAAATCTTTCAGAGGCATTCATTGTGCAGGAGCCGAAGGACGATGGCCATACACACATTTGTCATTCACAACCGAGTCGACTTAAAGTCTGGACAATTCGGTGTTGCCGCCTTGGCGTTCAATAGACCTGTTGTTTCTGTTGTTGTTGTCGTCGTTTTTTTCATTCATTTGCTCTCCATTCAATTTGCAAAATTAAAAAAT